AGACACTGCCTTGGAGAGTGGCGGAGTCTCCTTTATTTGGAGGTTTTTAAGGAGAAGCTGGATGGCCATCTGTCAGGAAGACTTTGCTTGTGTCTTCCTGCATGGCAGAATAGGTTTGGACTGGGTGGCCCTTGGGGTCACTTCCAACTCTAGGATTCTACTATTCAATGCTAGATCAGGGCCAATCTAAGATATTTGGCAGCCCAAATTGCAGTCCCCTCCCCTAGAAAAATCAAGATGCATAATAACCAGGACCAATCAAGTTTTCTTTTTAACCCTAACCCCAAAAGCATCTCTGCTGTAAAAGCTGAGTGATCACAATTCAGTTAATGAACATTATGCGTCTCTTTCTAGGTAACCAATGTCTGCTACCTTAGGCAGATGCCACACTGTGGCTAATGGTAGGGCTGGCCCTCCAACAAAAGCCAAGTTAGCCAGAATTATCTCCATAAAAAGGACAAATGCAGGGGTAGCCATGTTGACTATCAAACAAAATCCAAAGTCTCTATGACAGTGACACCTTTTTGGGTGAAATCGTTAGGCCAACCAAAAGGAGACACAATTTTGGCACAAACATGTGTAGGTACAGGAGAGCATAATAAGGGGATTGCCTCCTCAATAAGAATTCTGTCCCCCTCCTGTGAAATATTAGAGAGGCAGCATGGTGTAGTGGTTTGTTGAGCTAGGACTTTGGAAGACCAGGGTTCAAATCCTGCTCAGTCCTGGAAACCCAGTGGATGGCCTTGGGCAAGGCATACTCTGTCAGCCTTAGAGGAAGGCAATGACAAACCCCTTCTGAACAAATCATGCCAAGAATACCCCATGATAGCTTTGCCATAAGTCAAAAACAAGTTGAAGGCACAAAACAACAAAAATGAAATGTTCCTTCAGTCCCCCAAATGTGTAATATTGTAGTAACCTAAAACTTCATTACTTATAAGAATAAATGTTTCTAAAAGACAAGAGAGAGAGAGAGAGTAGAAGAGAAAGGATGAATGAATTTGCATTACCTGCTGAATGAATGAAATTTATTACAGTCAATGACCAGCAAAGGAAGAAAAAAAGAAAGGAAAAAAAAACATTATAAGCAAAGCAATGTTATACATAGTAGAAAGGAATTGTACAAGATAGTACAGTATTACACAAAATAAAATACCATTTAATTTTATTGTACTAGAACATGCTATTTTTGTACAAATTTTCCTTTAGTATGTATAATATTATTATATTGTTTGCCGGAGCTTATAATGTTTATGCTGGTTATTGTTTGTCATTGTCATTATCATCTATATGGGATGTTTTTGTCTGGTCGTCTGTGCGTTCTACATTTATAGATCATCCATCTATAGGAAAACTACATAGAAAACTAATGTAGGCAGCAAGCTTCTGTGCTGTTGAAATTTTGTCCCAACGCAACGTGGTATTTTATTTTGTATAACACTGTACTATCTTGTACAATTCCTTTCTACTATGTATAACATTGCTTTGCTTATAATGTTTTTTCCCCTTTTTTTTCTTCCTTTGCTGGTCATTGACTGTAATAAATTTCATTCAGTCTACCTGCTGATGAAGTTCAAAGTCCCAAAATATGTTCAACAGATGGAAGAGTGCATACAGATGAAGCTCAATGCATCATTACTAGAAGTGATAGAATCCAAAGATATAGCTGTGCTAGTCTGTAGAATCAATATGTAAAGAGATCTTGTAGCACCTTTGAAAGCATCTGAGGAAGTAGACTGAAGCCTACAAAAGCTCATGCTGCCAACTTCTTTCTTTCCGTTAGTCTCAAAGGTGCTACAAGATCTCTCTACTTACTGGAAGTGTTTTCCCTAGGTTTGTTGTTG